GTGAATGACAAAAGATGGCAAAGTTAAGGCTTGTGCCTAAGCAGGTGGGTGGAAGGACTAATAGCGTCATTGTATGATGGGATGGCAAGCCCTTCTGGTATCCTGGCAGAAGAAAGAGAGGTTTACGGGCAACATTGGGGAGTGGGCCACGGAAGCAGGGAGTGACGTGCCCAAAGTAAATCTTTACATACCATAGCAGAAACTGTCAAAGTGGATCAACCAGGAAATATTGAATAAGAATATGGGGAGCACCACTAGTAGTGAAAACAGCATTAAAAATGCTGGCCTCTGTAAACTGGAACCCAGATCCTTAGCCATAAGACTGTCACTTGCTCTTGGCTAAGTAACTCATGAAAGATTGTTTTGCTACCTACGGTTTCAATCAAATATTATCTAAAGATTTTGAAGAATAACATTAAACATGAACTTAAAAAATGAACAGAAGCTACTTAAGACAATAGCATTGGGCCAGCAAGATAGCTTAGCAGACAAAGTATCTGCTTTGGCAAGCCCAGGAACCAGTGTTCAATCCCCAGTCCCACATACCAGGCAGGCCCCACCCCTGGGGCACGCTGAGCTGGTGACTGAGTCCAGGTGTGGTGGCACATGCCTATAATCCCAGCACTGGGGAGGCTGAAAACAGGAGGATCCCCACGAGTCTGATCTGCATAGTGAGACCCTGTACCAAATACACAAATTTTTTAAAAAGAAAGAAAATATCATTGTTCAGAATCATAATTGAAGACAATAAATGGAAATAAATATCTTTTACATAAATTGGAAATAATTTGAGAATATTATCGATTTTTGTTAAAAAATCTAATGTGACCTCAGTGAATACAATGCCAGGATTGGGGGGTAGCACACAAAACTAACTAAGAAAATTCTTATAATAAGGGATTGTAAAAGAAAGCTTAATAAGCCTACCAGTCATTAAAATGTATAATTGTTAAGTAATCTGGAAGTGAAGTATATTGACGACAAACAGCAGAAAGCCTATAGAGCCATAGCGAATGTGTATTTGATACATGCTAAAAGGGATATTTCAAATTAGTGAAGAAAGGCTAGATTTATTCTATTAAATTGTTCTGAATCACCTCATCATCTAATGTCAAGAAAAAAATGGTTAATCAAGATCAGAGTGCGTGCTGAAATAAATGTAAGACTTAAACTTTAAACAGCTGTTTTAGGTTCAGTATATTCAGCAGAATAAAATGAGGAAAGCAAAACTGTCACATAGAACCCTGGGTAAATGTGTGTGTGTGTGTGTGATCTTGAAGTGAAAGAAGTTTTATTTAAGAAAACAAAACACTTTAAATAAAAAGAATGACTATATAAAAATTGAAAACTTTACTCATCTTCATGTCTTAGTTAGAAATTTCCTAAGAGAAGAAACTGTGTTTTACACATCTCTCAATCCCAACAGGTCAAACTTTTAGTTATCAGTAGTAATCCTCATTTGAATAAACAAGCTAAGCAGGTTCTTTTATGAACATGGGCTTTGTGCACAATTTAAGTCAATAAGTGCACTTGATTCACAGTCTCTCGCTATCATTGGAACTGAAATTTCCCAATAACATCTTAACAAATCTAAGGCATCCTTCAAGCAAGACACAGACTCATTTTCACCCCCCAGTGGAAGTACACAGAGCACTACCTTTCAGGGGTTGATTCATGTAAGCAGCTATAAACAAATCCCATTTTAACAGAAAGCCTCGCTCTCAAATATAATTCATAAGATGAACTTCTGGGTGGCTGAGCATTGAAGAAATTATTTCCTTTCCCGTAAGAAAGAAGCAGAGGATGACCCCGGTGTCCTTGCCTTCCTTCCTTAACCAGTTACAGCAGGGACAACCCCGTGCTCTGTCCTCCTGGGCGCCTACTGAAACCATAGTGACCGAGCAGTCATGAATGGTAGTGCAGTAAATAAAAACAAATGAAGTTAGTTTGTGCCCGAGACATCTGAAAGATAAACCTAAAATTTTGATCTTTAGGTACCAGAAATAAATCCTGTAGGCTTACGAGCTTTCCTGTCCCTTTTTGAGGAAAGAAAGCCATGTTCAGAACGACTCCTTTTATACACACAGGTGGCCATTTCAACAGTGCTGTATTGCTGTTGACACTACAGTGCAAACATGTTTCCACACAGCTCACATCTTTTCTAAAGAAAATATAGCAATCTGTTATTTTAAATGATTTGTCTTTGAAATTTGTGTTCTTTGCCTACATTTAGTAATAAATATTCAACAGAAAAAATGTAGTGATAAAATAATTGCCCCAAATGAATTCTGACAAAATTATTCAATTAAATGTTATTTAAAATTCTTAGGGCCAGCCAGATAGCTCAGCGGACTAAAGTGACTGCTTAGGCGGACGCAGGGACTGGGGTTCGATCCCCAATGTGCCATGCCATCCCCACCCCAGGGGCACACTGAAAGGGTGACTGAGACTGGGCGTGATGGTGTACATCTGTAATCCCAGTAGACCCCATACTAAATACATACATACATACATACATACACACAATAATACTCTCAAGCTTTTTTTTTTTTTTTTTGTATTTGGTACAGGGTCTCACTATCGGATGCCTAGTGATCCTGTTTTCAGCTTCCACAGTGCTGGGATTACAGATGTGCACCACCACTCCCAGTCTCAATCACCATCTCAGCGCTCCCTGGACGGGACCTGGGGGCTCAAACCCAAAGTCAGGTCCCTGCGTTTGCCTAGCCAGGCACTTAGACCATTTTCTCAAGCATTTTTAGAAAGAGTTAAAAGTTATTTTTGCATAGAATGGCCTTCTTTTAGGAACCCTGGCAACAAAAGTATTATGTAGCTTAAGGTAATCCTAGATAAATAACAATGTACTTCACACTTTTGTGAACAAAAATACTTTGTAAAATGAGATTATGGAAAAAGTAAGTCAAGGAGAGGTTAAGTGCTTCCGTACATAGACACAGCATAAATAGAAAAGCTTATCTCCCACGTTAATATTCATTTAACAATTAATTGCCCTTTTATTCAGCTTGGTGCGCTAGGTTCTGAGCAGTGAAAATCACACTTCTGAAAAAAAGTTAATTAGCCCTGGTAAAAGAAATTGTTCCAAAGGCTTCCTGTGTGATCAAGCTTGGAAATGGTAGATGCAAAACCTCACTGAACAAAAGCTAGAGCATTTGCAAAAGTAAAAGCTAAACTAGACGTTGAACCTACTTTAATGTCTGGGCACTATGTCTTTTATTGACACAAATTAATAGACTGACTTTGGGCTACTCAGTTATCAACTTTAGCCTACCTTACCTTATCTCCAAGGAAAAGAATTATATTACGCTACCTTTAAGGTGATTTGAGCTCTGAGGTCTTATTAGTATAATGAGTCTTTAATCTTGGCCTCAGCCCATGTTGTAATATCTTGGACCTTACTTCTTGGAGTCTGAATACCTAGTAATTTAATGTGTGTCTTAAAACCTAGAAAAGCATTTTAAGGAATTACTAGACCCTTTTCCCAAACAGCATCGTAAAGTCTCCTTAAGAAAATTTACGGACCACTCATATGGACATGTACATGAGCCAGAGATGCATGTAGTAATCAAACACCTATTTAGAAAAACATGTCAAAGTAGAACTAGCCAAAGACATTGGAGGAAGGTTGTGAGCCGTTTAACAGGGCTGGCTTTTATTGGGATGCCCTGAGGTTTTGGTCCCGGCTCCTTCTGTGGTCCTGACTGTATGCCTTCAAATTTTTATTTTTTATATCATGAAACATGTGTCTATTTTTAAAATAATTTATTATAAAGACAGAACATTAATTAATAAGACATTAGAAATGCTACATATTTAGAAGAACAAGAAGAGTTATTCAACCATGGTTTTTGTATTGCACTTTAAAAGTAAAGTAAAAAGAAAAAATAAAGTTTATTGAAAGCAAGCATTAATGTTTAATTGACCAATTTTGCATACCATATCTGTTCATGTGAACAACAGATTTGATGATGAAAATATGTAACATAATGACCATTGTTAAATTTCTATTCTTGTTTTGAAACTGTACCATTTGTTCTCTCGCTTGTTACTCTGTTTTTGTCTTTGTTTCTGCTATTTGTTTTTACTCTTTAAAATAAAATTTTAAAAAAGAAAGATGTGGCTTTGTTAAGTTGCTTAGCATGCAGTATAGTTTAGAAATACTTATTTTTAAAAGACTCTCATGTTTTAATGTGATAAGTAAAATAATTTGAAAGATGGGCAATCTAAGAGTAAATTTAAGGTTATTATTCTAATGTACTTCACAGAATCAAATGTAATTCACTATAAAAATAACAAATTTCTTTTCAAGTCAGCAGCAGAGAAAATGAATAATCCATTGGAAAAGAAAAGTAACTTGCTAAAAGGGGAAAAAAGGGAAAGTCAAATAAGCATAAGTACTGATTTTTTTAAAAAAATTTACTGAACAGTATTTACAACCAACAAGGCTGATTTTAATTCGGGTCCACTAGTCTAGTTTTCCATCCTGAGCAGTTAGATGTGATGCTTGTAGACCTTTTTCTTTGTTTTTTCCCATCTGATACGTCAACACTGTTCTTGCCCCAATGAGTCGGCTAAGAGTCAGTGATCTTATTTCAGCACTCCGGAGGTGGAGGCTGGAGGCTCATGAGCTCAAGACCAGCCTAGGGAACAGAGTGACTGCAAGATCAGCCTGAACAGGGGCTGGGGAGATGGCTCAGTGGAATAAATGCTTGCCTGGCAAACACAGGGACCTAAGTTCAATCCCCGGTTCTGCGAAAAAAAAAATCAGCCTGAACTGTAGTGAGACCTTATCTCAAAAAACAAAAATTGTTAAAATTTTCTGTTTATCTGATCATTATTTTCATTTTTATTAAATTACTAACAAATTTTTTAAAAAGGAATCAATGATATTGAAATCGAAGTCCTCAGCTGAGCACTATAGACTGCTTTTAAGCTGCATCTAAGTCTAAAGCTGCCCATCCCTCTGCTCTTTCCTTCTGTAGGCATTTATGTCCATGTTCCAGATCCTCACCCAGGAAGGGTGGGTGGACGTCATGGACCAAACCTTGAACGCCGTGGGGCACATGTGGGCGCCAGTGGTTGCCATCTACTTCATCCTGTATCATCTCTTCGCCACTCTGGTGAGTAGCCTTCTTTTGGGGCTTCACTGTATTCTTGGACTAATATATTTTGAAATTCATAGTGAGATGAAGATCAAAAGATATTTCATTGGTTGTCAGTTTCAAAATGGAGTAAAGGACAAATGCAGAGCAGTCCAGGTGTGAAATCTCTTATATTCTAAATGTCTAAAAATCAAAGAAATGCTGAAGAAACTTACTTTCAGATTTTGATAACTTAGTTGTCTCTGGCAAGAATAAGTTTCTGCAGAAAAAAACATGGTATCAGTACAATCCTGTTATATTTTGTTTTTCTTGTTTCTGGTTTACTTTTATTACCTGTTTTTCAGACATTTACTTTAAAGAGAGTATGGCAATAATTGATATGACATCAGAAGCAGTATGCATTTAAAACACAAAAATAGGGATATAAATAAAGGGCTGTTTTGCTGTGAAAAAAAATACATGTATATACAAGATAGTTTGCACAGGATATCTTGTCTGAATCTTGTACTATAAATAAGCACTATGAAAACAACAACATGCAAAGTATTAATTATTGAAACTGTCCTAATAAACTGTTTTGAAACTGAAAAAAAAGAAGAAAGAATGAAATAAAATGCAACAGAGACCTCGTATCCACATACCTGATTACACCTTTGCATTCACACCTGGGTAATCTAAGGATTGAACTTAAACTATATTGTTATATTTTTATCATGTAAAGACACTCTCTTCACTCTCACTGCATATTCCTCACAGCTGTAATTAAACTGAAGATGGAAGCTGGGGACCTCAGCATGCAGTCAGTTAATTAGAAGTCAGCAGAGTGTTTTTGTGCTGTGTTCAGCTGAATGTAACACATGGGAATGGAACACATAGCTGCAAATAAGGGGAACACACCATAAAAGTGAATACCAAAGGCCAGAAAAAATTAATGCCTACAACTCAGGCAGATTTTTCTCCTCAGTGTATTTTTATTAAAAATAAAGGAAGAGGGCCAGTGAGATAGCTCAATAGACTAGGCACCTGCTTAGGCAAGTGCAGGGACCTGGGCTCTATCACTGGTACCGCGTGCTGCAATGGCTCTGCCACCAGGCACGCTGAGCCAGCCACCAAGACCAGTCTTAGTGGCATATGCCTGTAATCCCAACACTGGGGAGGCTGAAAACAGGAGGATCACTATGAGTCTAAGCTGCTTAGTGAGATCCTGTACCAAATACATAAAATTTAATAAATAAAAAAGAAAAGGAGGGAAAATAGAAAATTTAGACTATGACTCACTAATAAATATATTCTCAGGTCTTTCTAATACAAAATATTCATCTCCATACAATGAATTTGCTCATATTCAAGAAGGAAGGCTGTTCTCTAATATGTTGCTCAAAGGTTCAAATTAAGGATCTCAGATGTTATCCTTTATCTGGAACAAATGAAATAAAAACAACTGCTAATATTTAGTGAGTGGCGGGCTACCGTGCACCAGCAGGACGAGGACATACCGGTCCCAGCTCAGGGACAGTATGGGTGAGATGCTATTTCACCCCCTTGGGATGCCCCCACCACTCCATAGTACCCTCCCCACCCCACCAACCGAGTTGGAATTTCTGTCCCTTTCTGGGAACCCCCAAATCCAGTCCTAGCCCAGGCCCAGTGAGTGTGTGCAAGACCTTCCCACTACCCTGCACCGGCGGGACCTACCAGTCCCAGCCCAGGCACAGCATGAGTGAGACCCTCTTTCACCCCTTTGGGACGCCCTCCACAACTCCATAGTACGCCCCCACCCCAACAACTGAGTAGGAATTTCTGTCACGTACTGGGAACCCCCAGATCCAGTCCTAGCCCAGACCCAGTGAGTGTATGGGAGAGCTACCTCTCCCCACTACTCTACCTTGTCCCCTCCAGACTCAGCTCAGGCCTAGCATACAGGCCTGGGGTGTAACCCTGTAGTTG